TAATAAATACCTGTTGCACATCATATTTTCTTTTTAAAATCATTATTTTTTTACGAGCTTTTTTAATACTAACAGGGTAGGCATTTTCAAAGAATAAGCCGTAACTAGGTACTAATTATATCCCATAAAATTGTACATTATATTTGTCAGAGAATATATTAATCAAATAATCAAATACAGAATGTTAAAATTTTTTTTTTGATTAATTATTTACAGTAAGTATTTACTTTTAAGAATACCATAGAATTTATAAACAGTGAGTCTCTACGGGGTATTATAAAATGTGTTTTAATTAGGTACAAAGGATATGAAAAGAAATGATCTTCGGAAAGATTTTTTAGACGATTATGAATTGAATGCGTGATCCATTTGTCTATAATTTGAAGATCAAAACAATCACAACTGACAATATAGTCGGATAATTGATTATTATGTAGATGCTGTACATAACATACATTTCTGTTTGTCGAACAAATACAATCTGCTACATATTGTACCCACTATTGAGATGTCTTTTGGGGTTAAGTACGTACACATACTATAATAGGACTTTAATATCTCTGAATTTCACAATAGATCTCGAGGGCGATGATCCAGAGCTCGAGTCTCTACAAAAGTAGGACAAGCCGCACAGGCATTTACAGTCGACGGTAAACAGGAAAGTCGCCAAATCGGGAACCCGAAGACGGGTGCCGGTTTAACACCCGTGGAAAATGCGTTGTGCTGACGACACGTCATATCCGTCAAAATCCATAAGACACACCAGAGGTTCGGGCGTTTGGTCGGATTCGGAACCGTACACGTAGCAGCCGGCAGCGGTCGAGCACGCACACAGCAGCCGGCCACTGCGATAAAACGGCGAGCCGTAAAATCCGACCGCGGACTACACGGCTAGGATGCATCTCGTTTTTGGTACACGGGTGTTGGAGGTTGCTGTCGGTGTCGGTGTGGTACTTACTCGATGTTGGACGTAGGTCAAAGCGGTTGTACGGGAATGGATGACGAAGACGAACAGCAGGTCGAGATGTGCGTATGTGCGGAACGGGGCGCGTCGACGGTAAAAGAGTTTGATAAAAACGCAAGACGATACAGACTGACACGGCCGGATCGAAACGAAAAACGATATAACAATATTATCACGACGCGAGTAACGAATACAATAATTATCTATATAAACGTATACGTATCTACATACACACTTTAATATATATATATATATATTATATAAATGTGTTATATACAACGTATTACTTGTACTATAATTATATATATGTATTTAACCGATTATAGGATAAGATGGCGGCGGCGTACGGGTTCCTCTCTTGACGACTTGGTATTTCTCTCTATTATTTTATTTTTTTTTTGTATTTCATTTATTTACTTTTCTCTCTCTCGCCGCTCCTGCGGTTCTACATGCATGCCACGTATAGAGCACGATTGTTCCTGGCCCGCGCCCGCCATTGGTCTACCGGTGTCACGTGATCAATCACCGTTTCTGCCATGAAATCGGCCGGTCGTCGTCGTCGTCGTCGTTTTCGCGCCCCGGCCCCTCGACCACGGTATCCCACGATCAGTGGCCGACGGGCCCGCCCGTGACATTCGGGTGGGCCCGATCGTAGATTGGTAACACCTTGTACCGCCGGACCGGTGTGTCATTACTCATTACGTAGTTACCACTACCACGGTACCAGGACACTCGCTGTTAATCACACATGTGGCGCTATGCCCGGTATGCAGTATCTCTAGTGACCGGTRGATTGTTATGACACGACAATATGTGATAAGTATTAAAGTAATGATGCTGGTGATGCTGCGTACGCCGTACGGCACTACGGCGGGACGGTACAGCTGCTGCCGTCAGGCCCACGAGTCGTGACTCACGACAGTACAGCTGACGTACAGTACAGTATGTCAGTACTCAGTATTGCACTATGGGGTATGCGACTGTTAAAGTGTTAACCGGCCACCGCCGTCGTCAGTGTACGAAGTCGCACTCGTCGCAGTTGTATTATTATAATTATTTCTACTTTAATGATAAAATCGTAACCGTCAGCGGCGGTGAGACGATATTTTTGGGCGGAAACAAACAATTTAAATGGTTTGTTTTTAAGCAGTGATAAAATGAGATACTTTATTAGTTATTATATATTTTAGATATTATTTTAATGAGGCACATTTGTTTTTAATTTCGTTGAAAACTTATTTTGTGTTTTGACGTTAAATCAGTAATGGTGGGCGGGGTCCAATGTCGTACCGCTTATATCAATCTAATTTGAAATCATGAATGAAACACAAAATTGTTTTATATAATTTCAATTACAATAGTTAGTTTATTCATTACAATGTATAAACAGGAAATATTATTTTATTGAAGGTGCTCATATGGAGCCATTTTTTTTTTAAATAAAATATTTGTACCTACTCTTATGAACTATAAAGTATTTTAATTTTAAATTTMATTGGATTAAATATATTACAGCTGGGACCAAATATCGAAAACATCTCAAAAATGTTGACTTTCCTAAGAGAAGTGGTTTTGACAATGTGTAAAAAAAAAACAGTTGTATGATAACACTACTAAGTAGGTACCTACTTCTCACACTTTTTTTCCTTAGTATGATATAATGACTGTTAATAATATTATAATATATTACAATACGACATACTTATTTATAATGTACTATGTCAAATAGTCTGATAAAGTGATAACCAATAACCTTTGTTGTTGATGTTATTCAAAGTTCAATAAAAAAAAAATTAAAATATTTTAATATAATTATTCAAATTTCATGTTTTGAAATTATATTTAAATATACCTATATAATAATTGATAATTGTTTATTTTTGTAATTAAAAATAAAATTAGCATAATATTATTAAAAATTCAAAACATATCAAATAAAACAAAATTAATTAGAATTATTAAAATTAATATATTTTATTATATATAATAACATAATTAAACTATACATGGTTAAAACTTATATATATACATATTAATTTTCATTTGGTGAGAATTAAAACATTAAATGAATAATATAARTGTCTTATCCAGTTATTCTATCCTATATAATAGGTTCTATTAATATTTTTGTAAAATTTTCAAAATGTTGTTCATAACTTACTAAATGTGAATCTGAAAATGAGACCTCAATCTTTTTTTTTCAAAAAAATCCAAGAAATTTTGACAACATCCGTAGTGCCATTTTAGGTAAAAATTGCAGACACGTACGGGGCACTCGTAATTATTGCTCTGTTAATTACTGATAATATTTGATTATTTTAACTAATTTAACTTCTCAGAACAGTTTGAAAGTTTGATAATTTAATTAATTTTTTCACGGTAGTCTATAACGTTCAATAGTGCCTACAGACGAACGATGCTATGGCGTGTTGTTTGTTATTATCTACTTATTAGTTATTACACATGATCAAAATTATATTGATTATACATTTATACCAATATGCACATTGTACCTATTAAACCTATTACTGATAGAGTTATGATATATTAATATTGCTATTAAAGTCATATTTTTATTATTAGATGGCAGGTTAAAATCTGTAAAAAATAATTATTTTTTCATAAAACATATCATATAAATGTCATTGTGTGTACAAAATAAAATAATATACTTTAAGATTTTCAAGTACCTTCTCATGAATAATATTTTCAATCAAAATAACTAAAATAATTTTATTCTCGTTTAAATAGGTATCTAATTTCGTATTTTTGTCCAAATTTTGTACCTGTTTACCACTTTTTGGAGCATTAAAAACCTTCTCAAATTTATTTTATTTTTTTTTTTGTTAGGAAATTGAATCTAACACCACTTGATAGTATAATTGATGGCATGTGCTTTCACTCACTGCTCATAGATATGCATTTGAGTAACGTCTTCACAAACCATAAATGAGGCTGAAGAATGATATCCTGCTCTTTCTATACTTTTTAAATTGCTTCTCAAGAGCGAAGACTGCCATTTTGAGTCAAAATTTTTGACTGTTGAATTTTTCTTCTACGATTAACGTTTTTTTACGTGTAAAGATTAAAGAGTATTTGTCTGAAATTTTTTGGCACACTGCGTTAATTTACCTTATGGGGGAATTTCCCACTCCGGGGCATGGCAGAAACCTACGGGTGCCCCAATGGAAATTCTGCCAAACAGGCGTCCGAACTAGGCCTTCGGGCCTACACCCGGACATTGCGCCATACGAAAAAAAAAATTTACCTTATTTGCTTATGTTGCTCTAATTTTACGTTGAGCTTCTGTCAACTGCATGTAGCTTACCAGCTCTCATCTCTGATAGTTTGATAAGTCCTAAGATCAAGGTCTTAATCAAAGTCTTCACACTTATAAAAGTACGATATTATTTGTATTTTCTCTTGAGATTTTTACGAGGCTTATAAAATATAACAATTTAAAAATGTTAACACATAACTCTCTGAAAATTAAAATATCGTTAAAAACCAAAGACCCAGGTGATATAGCTTCAAGTTATATAATAATTAAATTCATTCTCATAGTAATAATAATAGCTTATTAGTTACTACACAGTACACACGTCGTTATTGGAATGGCTAAATACAAATTTGTCATGTWGTATATTTACGTTTGTAAATCGGAGTGACGCGCTATCATAGGACATAAAATATAAATATACTATAATACATTATTATGTTGTTTACTAGTGTCTCATCGTGTAATATTATTATTATTATTAACATTGTGTCAACTATTTTATTTAAAGTATAAACAAGCACGAATAACAAATACGGCCAATAATCCAAAAGTTATTATCAACATACTATATACTATACATATTATTATACTGCATTGATGAACTTTTGCTGTTTATCGACTCTCAAAAGACGAATCATAGTGTTGTAGTAATCAAGGTACACAACTATGACGTATGATAATAATGACACAAAGACTTGGATTGAATACCATTAGACACAAAAACCGATTAATTTTCAATTAAATAACAGGCGTAAATACAAGTGTATAAAATATTGTTATTTATTTATTATTAGTAAATCATTAGATAGGTATGCATATAGAATACAAAATTAAAATAATTAATCATCATCTGACGCGGGAGGTTATAAATTATAACACATATTTTATCGGCAACTGATGCCAATTAAAATATAAATAGGTATAAAAATATTCTCACCTTTGGCGATTAAATGCGTAACAATTATAAAATTATTGTTATAATATGAAAAAACATAAAATATTACAATATTATTGTCATGAAATCGTCGAACTTGTTGTCTGGTCAAAACGGTTTGCCGGTTGTGAATCGGTTGATTAGGTCCAGCCCCCAAATCGGCTGRTCTGCSGGCACCATGTGACCGGCGTCTCTGACCAGCAACACGGTTAGCGGTCCGGCCGTGGTCGCGTAACCAGCTACGACGGTTGAGTTTTCGGAGCCCACCCGCCAAATGGTCCGCGTCGCGTTATGGAACTGCTCTGCGCCCGACCATTTCAGCGATTTTGCCATGTTCATCGTGCCCCGGTACGGCACGATAATGTCCAGCTGTCCGGAGTACAACAGAACTCGGTACTGTCCGGCGTCCAACAAGTTAGCCAACCACGAGCCCACCGATTGCATCATGTCATCGGCCAAGTGCTGTTCGACCACCGTACCGTTGTTCAGCGGCCTCTGGCCCACGTGCAGCGCTTCCCGCATGAATGGCTCTTGCACGTACTTCTCCCAGTCACCATACGGAGTTGGATCGCGGTCCCACAGCATGTTGAAGTAGTACCGCATGCCGGTCAGGTTCTGGAACAGCGACGGATATGGGTAGATGTCGCCATTCAGTAGTTTGTCGAAAGTCCGAAAAGCAGCCTCGAAGTCATTGCGGAGGATTTGGACACGGGCCGTGCTCTCCAGTTCTTCTAACTCTTGTTTACCGWACTCTAAGAAGACATGAAATAATATTATTATGATATATTTTATTARATAACACGAGTATATAAYGTTATCTCAATCGTCATATTATAGTCACGTCATGATATAATTTATTATTATATATAACTACTAGCTAGAGATCAGTGAATTTGAAGACAATTTTTATGCTTTTTTTTAGCTTATGCGTTGTTGGCATAAAGTTTTCMTTGCACAAAGCTTGAATTATTATGTATTTTTTTTTTATATCGCATTTGATCACTTTTTACGGTATTTTATATTATACAGTCTGTATATAGCTGTGTATTATTGTAATTTATTAGAATGTCTCTGCCAGCTAGAGTGCCTATAAATTAATTACATTTTTTATTATGATTTGTATAATATTATATATTATGAACATATAAATATATAAGTGTAATATGGTTATTGCCTATCTTCTTTTTCAATAAGTCTCGGTACTTTTTATATTTTTAATAATTTGATTCGTATTATGTCCGCGGTGTGTTTAATGCATTTTAAACTGAATTCCATAAATGTTTCTGTTTTCTACAATGCATCATAATATTTTAAGCTCTAATAATGACGTWTCTATATATGGCTAATGGCTATATGTTATTTATGTGTATGGTATATTAATTATAGTTACCGTCAACGAACCCGTGTTGGTACAGGTATTCACTGTACATCAATTGGTTGATTGGGTCTACCAAACCGTTGCCGATGGCCAGCCCCTTGAGGTTGATCTTGACCTCGGCCTTGGGGTTGTTGAGGTGGATGGAGTATGACACGGACGGCACATATTTGCCCGCGTACGATTCGCCGGTCACGTAGAAATCGTTGTTCTGGTATTCGTGGAACAGYGTGAAGAACTGYACCAAGGCGGTGTACACGTTGATGCCGACAGATGCCTGATTGACGCTGTAACCTCCATCGTCTGCGGTGAAGCTGTATCCTGTGCCCACCGGGTTGTCGAGGTATATCACCGAGTGGGTGGCCACCCACGTGTGGTTGCGCAGCTTGAGGCCGTGGGTCTTGGCCACTGAGAACGGACCATGCTCGTTGAACACGGCGTACAGRCTGGACGCGCCCGGGCCGCCTTGCAGCCACAGCATGACGGGCGCGTCCCGGGCGCCGCTCATGGCCGGGAAGAACCAGAAGAACATGTTGGAACCGTGTTTCTCGTCCACAGTCAGGTAACCGGAGTAGCTCTCGATATCCGCCTTCGGCGGTTTCACCTTGCACGCTTCCCGTGCCTCGTCGATCCGGCCTGCCTGTATCAGGGGCGTCAGGTACAGAGCCCCATCGCTATTGCCGTCTCCGGATGCCTTCGCCACGACTGTCCGACTGCAGACGAACAAGTAGAGGMCCGCGACTAAAAGTGGCGACGTTAACATCGCCATCACTAAACGCATGTTGGTCAGACTATATTGTTGAGAACACGAGTCGTTTCAGCGAACTAGCTGCGCCGGAAYTTAATTATTTCCAAAATAGAAATAATAAAAATATTTTACGATCTGAAATCGACTCGGTGGACGATGAGAATAAATTATTATTATTATTATCGCCGCTGTAGGAATAGCAACAGCCAACAACGTTCGATCTCGTCGGAACTCGGCAGCCGACTGAAAACYGATAAAACCTAACCGCGATATGATAATATTATACTGTTTGAACTGAGCATATAATACGGTGTTGTGTGATGTACCTATAATGTTATTATTGTATTTAATTATTATCACACCGTAGATTAGATCGTYGCCACCACCGTCGAACAACTGATTATTTRAGGATGTACATAAAATCAATATGTACTTATGTCCTATTTGATAAATTATAGTGGAGGTAGAGGTCACTCTATTAAGACGACTCACTGGCCATTGTGCGTGTATGTATTATGTATACAGTATAAATGTATAATGTAGGATAATATATACGCGGTGTTAACAGTTTAGAAAAATCTATACCATCACTTCTCACGTAGTCCACTCATCCATGCTATCGCGCTCGAAGTATAGCATTATCATTTTATCATTTATGACCATTAGTAATTATTGTGTAATGTGTTTAAATTATTTAAACAACTACATTTATAATGYAGGTAACAAAATATATAGATGCTTTCCGTTATCCCAACTACCATCTGATGCCGCGACTATTACGAGAGTCTCAATCCATGATATTTTAAATAATAATATTAATATGCTTAGCTATTAGTTAATATCGTTTTCAAAACGTGTTTTTACTGCTTTTATAATAATAATCACAGGTTGGCTTATATTACATGGAACAATTAGATTAGAAGCAACAATTATATTTAGAAGTAGTTTAATGAAAATATAAAACTATTATACTGTGTGTCTGTGTAAAATTGTGCTTGGTGTTTTACATTACAATAAGTTGATATTTACTGAACTAAGTGTAGGTGCCCAATTAAGGATGACTCCATAGACTAGTTTGAGACGACTATGTCATAATTTTCGCCTTTCGGTATACTGGTTAGTGGTTTGTTATAGCCCGTGACGGTGAGTGAAAACTTTAAAGCACAGCAATTCAGCATTCAGGTTTGTTATTTATTTATGTTGTATATCAACGGGTATATACCCTTTTACAATTTACTAAAAACTAAATATGTGTAGTAAATCCTAACAAAAACAGATAACAAAATATAAAAATAATACTGAATTAAAAGTAATATATATATATAAAATTATATAGTTACACTAAAAATATTATTATTATTATTATTTTTTTTTTCTTCATATTAATCAATCCATATTTTTTAATAATAACATAGATTTAAATTTAAAGCAATTGCATGAGAGAAAAAAAATATCTAAATGTATGCAAATTTTATTAGCTAAAATTAAAGCTCGAGGGAAAAAAGAATTGATACCACTGTTCGTTTCTGTTATAGCCCCACCATCACTATATTTCGACGAAAAATACGTACCATTACTACCATTACTATGAGGTACCTAATAAGTAATAATCAATAATATAATAATATGATAAGCCGATATACCGATATAGCTTATGGTAATTTGCAACAACATGGATTCCAATATAATAAAGTTAATCAAAGATATAATTTCGTG